AACGGCAAAAAAAGAAGAAGAAGAAGAAATGAAAGAAAGAAAAAAAAGAAATTCAACGTCCTCAAAAGATCGTAAACACATAAAAATTCTCTCAAGATCCTATCTTCGAATTGCCTATTAAAAAAGCATTTGGCAATTCGTCGACGTCATTAATTCGTTCTCCCCGAAAAAGAAGGTGTCCCCGTCGCTAATTACTCATTGTCCGCCGCGAAATGACTCGCACGAGAAGAGGAAAAGTGCGTGTGCGAGAGTATAGTCAGTCAGTGTTTGTACGCTTATCCGAGCTCATTATCGCGTGTTTTTGCACGTTGTTCATTTTTGGGACTCTTGAGTTGCATGAAAGTACCTTTTTTTTACCATCGATTGCAATGGGGCCTTTTTTTTTGTATATTGGGCCTCAGAACGACTCTCTCTCTCTCTCTCTCAACGGTGGTCTATCATTATGGACTCGCGTGCGCTGCCCTCGGTTATTCTCGTCTCTCCTCGGGTGGTTCCCCTCCCCATCACTCTGACGCTGCTGTGGACCCCGAGGCTGGGACGCAAGGCCCCGAATCTATACGCACGTACCAGAGTGAGAGGAGTGGGGAGGGACGAGGTCCAGCACGAGCTCCTTTTCTCTCTTTCTCTCTTTTATTATCTCTCTTTCTCTTTTGCCACGAGATTCGCGCGGCTACAAAACAGATCGAAAACTTGAACACACGGGAGCAACTCTTTTTTCTACCAACGAAATCGAGGCCTCTTATAGTCTCTCGGGGAAATCGACCCAAATGAACACAGAAAACTTTTGATTACAGGTACACGAGGCATTTCTGTCGAATTATTCGCGTCAATAAAATAAAAGGATTCACTGAGAAATCATTTTGACCCATTGACCAAAAAAAAAGAAAAATTCAAACACTAAACAAAATAAAAATTTTAAAAATTATAGTGTCATGCTCTGAGAATAGGTACCTAAGAAGCAAAAAATTTGAGGTTATGTTTTTAATAATGTTTTGAGTAAAAATACGGAAAGAGAATCAATTATTAATTAATAATTATTGATCTTCAAGTCTCCATTATATCTATAAAATATCCAATGCAAATTGATTATTATTATCGTTTAGTTAACCTCTTCCTTTTCTACAAAACAAATTTAATTTTCCTTTTCCAAAGAAGTATTCTTTTTCTGTTTTTTTTCTTTTTTCTTCTTCTTCAAACAAGTTTCATAATTCAAACAAATTTTCTTTTTACAAAAAGTATCTATTTTCTTCTACAAAAAAAAGCTTTTTTTCAAAAAGTCATGTTCTTTTCTCTTTTCTAAAAAAGCGGATGAGATTAAATGCACTTTAAAGCCATAAAAACTAATGATTAGAAAATTTTCCTTATATAGGCCTCGCACCTATATATATGTATATATATATATATATATATATATATATATATTTTGTAAATACAATACGTATATACCCATATATATTATATATATATACAAAACGTATTATAGTCAAGTCTTTGGTTTTGGTGACTTTTAGCTCGCTTTTAGAGGGTGACAGGAAGTAAAAGCCGAAAAGTTTCACGTAAGAGAAGAATAGAATGAAAAGTAAAGCGCGCGCAGGTACTATATTTGGTTTGCTTTGTTCGGGCCTTAGAAAAAGAAAAAAAATATAAAGTCGCCTTGAATATTTTCCTATATATATACGTGTGGGTGGATGAATTTTGAAAAAAAATGTGTTTATGTGTGAAAATTTATATACCAGAGGAGAATTTTATTCAACGAAAGTATATATTTTTATCTCATCGCTTCTTTGCGTTTATAGATGGGGCATATGAAAAAAGACCGACCTTCTCGTACCAGTATATTTGGGCCTTATACATACATGTATATAGTATATATACACACATATATATATATGTATTAGTATAGTATTATATATATTATTATATATTATAATAATAATATATAATAATATAATATATAATATATAAATATATAAATAAATAAATATATTATATATTATATATATAATTATATATATATAGCATATATAGTACGTATATATATAGGATATGTGAGCAGCGTCCTTTTCTTTCTTTTCGCGTGCCACGGTCCTTTACGATTCGCTGTGCCGCCACCATGCATCGTGGTCCTGGACGATGCACTTACCCCGAGGGCCTAAGGCCCATACATACCATACACATATATACGACCGAAAACGAAACACACCAGACCCAAAATTCACGGCGGCTTCTACTCTCGGTGCAAAGACCTCCGCGATACATACAACTTACTTATTCCTTTTTTTAATTGATTAATTCGAGAACTTGTAATTATATATCTTCCATATAAATTGGGATTTATTTCGAATACATTGTTTGAATTAATTTGTTAGGACTCTTATATATATATTCGTATATGCAAAATACAAATTATTTTTTTAAAAAGAAAAATGAAAAAACAATTTTTTTTCTAATTAACTAATAACTAACTAACTAACTAACTTTATAAGCAACTAACTAACTTACAAACTTACAACTAATTAACCTAATTAACTTATATACTAACTTACAACTAATTAATTTAATTAACTTATTAATTTACTAACCTATTAACCTACTAACTAACTTACTAACTGACTAACTAATTAACTTATTAATTTACTAACTTAGTTACTAACTAACTTAGTAAGGTAGTAAGTAACTAAGTAAGTTACGATTTATTTTCATTAAAAATAACCTTTTTTATATCCCCCCCCCCCATTAAAATAACCCTTTATATTTTATATAAAAATTAAAATATAGGAAATTTAGTTAAAAACGTACCCTATACTATATTTTGAAATTACAATTGCCGGGCAAGAAACCCTAAAAGCTTAATTTAAATTTAAAAATGTTTTTACGCCACTGGCTATCAAACATTACACACGAGGTCCAATGTGTGGGAACTCGAAAAGTTGCTCCTGGCAGCGGCCAACTGGAGGGTCGGGGGCAGTGATTACTGGGTAGTGGCTGAGGAGTTTGGTTCAGAAAAAGGGAGATAGGGATTGAGGAGGAGGCAGGGGGGAGGAAAGGTATATGTATGTTTCAGAAGTAGTGGATGATGAACACGCTCGCGCGTGGTACAGCCGCCAGTTTATAGAAAGAAGAATAAGAAGAAGAAAAAAAAGAAGAGAAAAAAGTGAAGAAAAAGAGAGAGGAAAAAAGAGAAGAAGAAAGAAGAAGAGAGAAGGAAAGAGAAAGAGAGAAGAAAAGAGAAAAAGAGACCAAAAGGAAGAGGAAAAAAGAAGTAGTCACACAGAAAGGATTCGTGAGAGAATAGAGGATGGGTGCAAGAATCGGAGATGCGAGGAAGAGAAAGGTGAAGGGAAAACGTGTGTTGTACGAGAAAAAGAGAAGGAGTAGTCTTTGCGCGCGTCTGTCGCGTGGCCAAGTCCTCTGCACGCATGCGCCTTCTTTCTCTTTTTTTTATAATTCACTTTACCACAATCTTGATATTTTTATATCTTTTTCTATATTTGCATTCATGTTACAAAATGAGGCAAAAAATTATTTACATTATTGCACTTTTCTCATATACTTTGTATATTTTTTCTCCTCTTTTCTTCTTCTTTATTTTTCTTCTTCTCTATTTTTTAGGAACACTGCCCATTTTTTTTGCGTATTTTGAAAGTATACTCGAATTTACGATTCATAATTAATTTAAAATAGTATTAAAAAACTACTCATCGGAAAATTTCAATTATTTAAATAATTGATTTTTTCGAAATTAATACAATTATTAATAATTGTAATAATATTGTAATGATTATCGTTTAATTAGTTCCACGTTCGTTATTTACTACTAAGAAAATGTAAATTATTCCATTTACCATAAAAAAATGTACGTGTTGGAAAAGCAGCAAATTTAAAATTTAACGAACAATGGAAACAATTAACAAATAAACGAAAACTATTAAATGGATCATTAGTAACATCGGAAAGGAAAAAAACTGGAACAGGATACATCATATCTGGATAATTGAAATCGGAAAAAAATTTATAAAAGTGTAAAATACGTTCAAGAGTTTTGGTATATAACGAATGCCAATTATATACCTCAGTAATAAATACGCGTATATATATAAAATTAAAAATAAAGTGGGTCATTTTTTTCATCGCGAGGATTCACGAAGGCGCCATTTCCGTTTTTAAAAAAAGATTTTTGCTTCTTTAATATATTCTCGGTATATGCGAATTTTCACCGATCATCATCATAGCGTTATATATATATATAAATGTACCGGTAAACAAATTGGATTTTGCATTTGGTCGATTTTAAGCAGAAGGTTTGGAAAAAAAAGTGGAACAAACCTGTGTGTACGTGTATTTGTAAAAAAAAGTAACCGGTACGTCAATGTATATATGAAATATGCTGTAACTCACAATAACAGGATCCTTGTATATAGAGCTGCATCATACTGCATGTACAAGCTTTCATCTCAAGTTACAGTCTTACAAGCACCTACTTTCCCTGTTTGAAACTTTTTTTTTAAAAAACCAATAATAATGCTTCTGTACAAGAAAAAGCAGACATCAAATAAGATAATTAATTTTTTAATTTCTTAAATACTGTATTTAACCGAAAACAGGAACCCCGAGACGAACCGATTGCTGAGGTTTATTTTTTACTGGTCGAGATTTAATTACAGTCTCGAGAGTTCATATATAAACTCAAAATATATACATATATTTGGTGTATTGTGAGAGGGACAAAATTTTTAATTGTTTTGCTATAAATTTCTTCTTCAGAATGATTTGTAAATGAAATTTTTTCCTTTCTTTTCTGAAGATTAAAAAATTTTCAGTTTAATTAAATTTTCTAATTAACAAATAGAATTTATAAACATGTTTTTTTCTTTATTTTTTAAAAAAGCTTTGAATTTTATTAAAACAATAATAGGTAATTGAAATTAAGAAATAGAATTCATGCAAATTATTTCCTTACGAAATGAAAGAATACGGAGATTAGTATATAGATAATGACGTCAATGAAATAAACAATTATTTTATTTATCAATTTTGACAAGAAAACCACTTATTTGAAGAATAAAATTTAAATTTTTCGTTTCATATGTAATTTTTTTTTCTTCGGTATATTTTTCTTATATTCAGAGATTAAGTGGAAGTTTTGCTAGATGTTCAGTAAAATTCTTAGCCTGTGCCAATTTTGCCATTGTAAGCATATTAGGATCGAAATCAGCAAATGGCAAATACTTTGTACCATCACAATCGTAGAATTTTGTATTAAAGAATACTCGAAGGGTGTCAAGATTAAATGATTCTCCACTACCACCAATACCACAATCAGCCGAATATTCTGCTTTTAATTCAAATGTTATAGTGGCAAGAGCATCGCAATGAATGAAATTTTTTTGATCATACTCGAAAAAATACGTATCATCCACTCTCACATCCTAGAAGAAAAATTTTTTTTTGACAAACTTTAAATTATATAATATAAATTATTTATTATATATTATATAGTAATAATCATTATTTAATTATTGAATTATTTAAGAGGCGCCTTGTACCTACCATTGGATCAATACATTCCCAAGATAAATATTTCTTGATGAAAATTTTAAAAAAAAGGTCCCTTGCAAATGCCGACTCAGCGGTTTTTGGATCTATTCTTTTATAGATTGGTTTACAAAGTGTAAATGCGGTTTCAGTTTTTTTATGTTTGTTATTTTCGTAAGTGATCGTCATTCGTCCCTGTAAATTACATATACATTTTTTTATTCTTCTGACATTATATATATTGAACAAAAAATTAAAAAATCAATACAATTTGACGTTTGAAGAAAGGTATAGCTAAAGGTGCAAAAAGTTTTAGGTTATGTTCACACAATTTTTCCTTAAAATACAATTTTCTATTATTATAAAACATTTTTTCTAAAGAAACAATGTAAAAAAGTGTATTACGTTTAATTTATGTTGCTCGTATAACCTCAAACTGTTTATCCATTTGAAATTAAGGTTTTCGCCAAATGTAAATCTGCCTTCCCTTGTACCGCCACCTAAGGTTTGAGTGGTTTTAGCAGATTTGTCGCATCTGCAGTCATCTGAATCTTTGATTTTCGCACCGACAGTACCATCAGTTTTCTTAACTCTCGAATATTCATTGAAATTAGTGTTATCCGAAATTAGTATCATTCGCGCAAGATAGACATCCAAAGAAACCTATTTTAACATATATAATTATAAGAATTATAACAAGTTATTATAAACAGGGTGGCCACAAGTTTCAGTTTATCAATTTCCCTGACATTTCCCTGACATTTCCCTGCCAATTTACTGACATTAAAATTACTTTCCCTGACAAAATTCTTTTTAAAGAAAAATATGAATGTTTACGGAAAATGGGTAAAATTTATGAATTTGAATAATTTCTAAAAATTACAATTATAACCCTTCCTGAATTCAATTATTTTTTTACAATTTTCAACTAAACTTCATCTCTGAATCAATTAATTTAAATAATTTCCAAAAAATTTTTCTAGAATTCAATTATTTAAATACAAAAATTAAATTTTTAATAATAATTGTAATTATATAAATATAATAGTTTTTCAATATTTGAATAATTTCCAAACAATTAAAATTTAGTTAAATCTTTTAAAAATAATTGAATTTTTGAAAAATATAAATAAAAATTATCAAATTTTTGAAGAACTTTAATTATAAACAGGACCATGATTTCTCAAAAATTTTAATAACTCCAAAAAGTAAATTTTCATAAATTTTTATTTACATTGTTCGAAGATAATTAAATCTTAAAAAATTATTATAAAGCAATTCTAATAATTAGTTTTTAAAAATGTTTTAATGTAATTTTTCGAAAATAATTGAATTCCTTAAAAAAAATTTTGTATAATTTAAAAAACTAATTAATTTTTTTTTTTTTTTTAATTAAAAATTTTGAACTTGATTGTATTCTCCAAAATGTTAAAAAGAATTCTAAAATGTTATTATTTTTGTATGTAATGTATTTGAATTTTTTGAATTATGTAAATGAAAATACTGAAAACATTATTGAATTATATAAAATTAGAAGCTAATTTTCATTAACTGTCATTTTTAAGTTTACATTTAAAGATTTTTTATTAAAATTTTTGATATTTCAATTATTTTCAAAATTTGCAATTAAAATTCTTCAAAAATTGATTTTTAAAAATTGTAAATAAATAGTATTGAAATGTTTGGAAGAAAAGTCGAAAAAATTTCCAATTTTCTTAATTTCCCTGACAAAAATTTTTTTCCTGACATTTCCCTGACTTTACTGACAAAAATTAAAATTATATTTACCGCATTGTGAACAATTATGAAAAATAGGAGAAGCCACATTTTAGTCATGATTAGTTATAACCGCACTAAGTGACTGCAAGAAATAATGTAGCATAAAAGTATTGCTAAACTGGATTTTGGTGCGATAAAATTTAATTGCTTATATTTACGTAAAATTCGTTTATATTCAACATGACAAAAGCGTAGATTAAAAAGTAATTAAGTATATAAATAAAATTTTAATATTTCCTGTTCTTTATCTTCAAGCATTTTAAAAATTATATATGAAATATATTCAAATTATTGCAAAATTAAATATTTTAAAAGTATGTCTGCAAACTTAAAACAATATCTTATATTTAAATTTTTAGACCAGAAACATCTTTGCAGTAACAGTTTTTGATTTTATTTATCCTCATCATAAAAACATTGGAACAATTTAAAAAGTGCTTCATTGTAGTTTCATACATATGCAGAGGATAAAAAATCAAAAAATTGAAGGAGAATTAAAAACCTCAAGAAGGGTTCCGAATGGTTGATATTTTAAAATTGAGCATAAGCTGGTCAGTTCCATAAGCGGAGATGTAGCTGGGGAATAAATAGAATCCGCTACATCTCCCAAGAGTCAAAGCGAGACGAATGAGCAGAGCAGAGGTCCAGTTGGAATGAAAATTGAAACCCGCGCGTTTCGTACGTGCCGAGACGTATGGTCTCGTTGCACCTTCCTTAATGGGATATATACATATATATATATATATATATTTATAAGGCCCCTTTTTGGTTATATACAGAAGGAGCGGTAGGTACCTACTGGCCCCATGCCATTGGGACCTACATATGAGCTCACACCGTGTCCTTCCACCCTTTCGCTTTTGCTTGCTTTTCTGCCAGCACGGCTAAACCGTTTTGAGTCGTAGCCCTTTTCTGCGCTATTTTTTGCCTCTCCTTTTGTTCTCCGATGCAAGAAACAAAAAAACAGACCTTAAAAAGCCGCGGGTAACAAGAGACGACGTAAAATGGGCCTGCTGGTGCGAGACGACTCTTTAAAAGTCGATTTGGCCTCCGAAATTTTTAATATATATACATCACTTGTTATCGAATATATACTATATATATTGTTATCGAATACTCTTATTATTTTATGATGAGTCTAAGCGAAAAATACGGTTAATTTTCTGATTTGGATGGTTCAACATAACTTACAAGCTTTTGGGCAAAAAACCATGGTCGTTCCTAAAATAATTTTAGAACCTTTCATGTTCCTCTGAATACATAATATGTTCTAAAACATTAATGCTAGAATTTTTCGCTGATTGAGAATTATAATTACGAAAAAAGATTTTGACTATATTTATTTAATTTATTACAAAAATTCCAAATAGAATTTTTTTTGACTTTACGTTAAATTTTTGATATGTGATATAGAGAGTATATATAAAAATCTATATAAGAAGAAAAATCTAAATTCTTCTGACATTTTATAAAAACATTAATGTGCCACCCTTTATATTTTCTCTTCTCTCTTTTTTTTCTTTCTTTTTTTTTTTGATCTCTTTAGAAATTGAGATCGACATATTAAAGAACAGATCCATCAGAGTGCTTATAGGATGATATGTCTCTCACCGTGTTCGTTCGTGCCATTGCATTTTCGTGTAGGTGAGTTTTTTTTTCTTTTAGGCCCGTGAGAATCTCTGAAAATCGACTAGACGGGAAGTGACTTCAAATATTTGACCAAGGCTCCACTATGTTACTTAAAAATCATGCTGCGAATCGATACTTCCCTTTTTTCCCAAATGTGATGTGTATAAAAAAATACAAAGAAAGAAAGAAAGCAAGATCATTTAAAAGGCATTTATGGGAAAAGCGTTTTTTTTCCTTCCCTTTTTCCTTCTGTGCTTTGTATTTACTTATCAATTAACTTAATTATATAAGATTTCAGTTCTGTTTATTTGACTGACTCAAATTACATGATTATGTATATAAATAATTTATGTTCAATTTAATTTCTACTGTTTATACTATTTTTGTGTTTTAAGTATATACCGTTTATGTCATTTGATTTCGATTTGTTAATCAAATCAAATTTTGATTAAAAAATGGATTTTTTTTAAAATTATAATATTATAAAAATTTGTAAAATAAAAAAATGTACAATTATAATTAGGGTCCGTTTATAAGTTTATGGACGGCACCTAATTATATTTATAATCATAATTTTCAGACCCCCCCCCTCCCCCTCGTTAACATTGCGTCAAATGCAATTTTATAAATTTTTGGACCCCCCTTAAATTAATAATTAATAATAATAATAATGTTAATAAAGATAATGATAAGAAAAAATAATAATAAAAAACAACAAAAATGTTAATAAAAAGTAATAATATTAAGAACAACAAAAATGTTAATAAAAAATAATGAAAATAATAATAATAATAATAATAATACTAGTACAAAAGTGCCCTAATTGTGACACGTGGGTGCAATGAAAAAAATGACCAACTCATAAATCAAGTTCACTCCCCCCGAAAAACACAGCATGACTAAAATAGTTGATATATATACGTGTGTATTGTAATTCCTGGAATCGAAATAAGGACAACCCCAATATCAAAGGAAGTGTGACACCCACTGGTTCATGGATGATCAAAACTGAAATGCGCACAAATCGACCAAAATGAATACCACACATTTATATATATATATATATGTAGTATAGCTTCTATTCGTGTATATTGCCATCGTAAAGATTATACACGATGTCGGTGGTGGTAATTTCACGTGCTATTCAATTTTCAATTCATATATATATATTATAGAGGGAGAGAGATAGACAGAGAAAATCAAAAGAGAAACGGAGAAAAAGGGAACAAGAGAAAATAAAAAAAAAGAGAGTGCAACATTTGTATTGTCATTATAGAGGGGGATGATGATTTTCCAAGGAAACAATTAAATTGAACGAAATTCTTCTATATTATAAGCGAAAATCGTCCTTTTTTTTGTCAATTTCACGTTGTCTTCCTTTTGACTCCCCCTATACTCTATATTGTATATTTTCGAGAATAAATCAAACACTGTTATGGAACTTTAAAATCTATTTAAAACACTATTTTATTGCTATTTATTTTTTATTTTTCCGCAACTCAAGCTTCTTTTTTTATTTTGTTTGCCTATCGAAAGTATTTTTCATACTTTCGATGGGCAAACAAAATAAAAGAAGCGTAATATGTATAAACTATATCGATGAAAGGTTATAATGCGGTTATAATCTTATAAGCGGACAAAATTTTATAGGTTAAGGGGTTAGGCCACCAAGGTCAAATTTGGGAATTTTTTCTAACATATCAAAAATACTATATATGTTTATGGCATATATTTAAGGAAAAGTTTTGGTTTTTTATTCCAGTTTCAAATTTGGCGGTATACATCAGCCGCAGTTCGCCCGTTTTGAACGAAGGATCCAAAAAACGGATCCTGGAGCGGGCCATTTAATAATAGAAAAATTTGTTTATAATATATTTTTGGGTACATTTTGAGATATATAGTAAAGCACTGAATACAAAAATTTAGTAACTTTTAATATAGTCTTAGAAAAAATTTGCAAAATTTGACCTTTCTTTTTTATACGCGCATATGGTGCCCTGATTAACTATATATTTTTAAAGTGAAATTTTAGTGGAAGATTATGGCAAGCCTGCTTTACTAAGAATTTTAATTTTAAGGTATTAAAATTATGTGGCAAAAGAATGGAACCCCTTAAATATTTCTTAATGTATTTTGAAGCAAAATGTTTGAAACATCGTGGCAATCTTATAATATTGCAGCAAGTTTCCCGCCAAACTGCTCTGACCACTTCTAATATCTGTAAAGGAACCTGAAAGGTACCTTTAAGTCACATATGTCCTCTCTGTTATTTCTCAAAGTAAAATTTATGAATTTTAAGAAATTCTCTGCCAAATTTATGCGGAAATTTTACTTTTATGCCATATACAAGCTGTCAATTTTTATTATTAATCTTTTTGTGGTTTTTTCATTTTTTTTTTGCTTTCGGTTTAACAATAAGCCAAAAATGAATATAAATACAAAAAAGAAAAACCACTTTTACATTCCATTTATTTGAGGAGAGAAAAAGTGGAACCCCGCGCGCGCGTATATAAACAAAATTTTTGAATAGAATCCGTAGTATATGTATATAGTTGATGATGAGAAAGAGAGGGAGGGAGGGGGGAGAGTGAGAGAAACAGAAAGAGAGAGAGGTACTTTTTGGTGGTTTTTCGAAAGTTTGTCTTTCATCCTAGAATAATATTATCGCAACCAAAAGTATATAGAATTTGGAACAATTTTTGGGTCGATCTTGATGGCAAATTATATGTACTAAATTCTATATAAACTCGCATCTCTCTCTTATTCTAACTCTCTTCTTTTCTCTCTCTCTCTCTCTTTTTCTCTCCTTCTCTCTCTTTCCCCCCTTCTCTCTTTTTCTCTCTGCAAAATTCTATATCCAAATAGAAAAAAAAATATATAGAAAGCGAAAAAGAGAGAGAGAGAGAGAGAGAGAGAGAGAGAGAGAGAGAGAGAGAGAGAGAGAGAGAGAGAGAGAGAGAGAGAGGAAAAGAGAGAGAGAATACATATTCCATATTTCCGTGGATCACAATACTCGTCACCGCCGGTAGCCCACAAGTCCTAGGAATCAGCATCTTCCCCCTCAGGCCTCACTCCCCTCACGCCCTCTCTTAAGCATCGTCTTCCTTTCGTCAAAGAAGGTTAACTTTAGCTCGTTTGGAGTCTATTCTTCGTAGGACCTCGCGTTTTTCTCTCCTGGACAATTTCACCCCACGACGTAGTTTATCCATACATATATATATAGAATCTCACGCCTTTAGCCATTGACCATTCGCACTGCCATTCTTTTTCCTTCGACAGTATACATATATATGTGTATGGCCATTGTCAATGATGAGCGACGACATTCGAGAAGAAAAATTCGAGGGGTATTATATATGGCGAACGGATCCGCGATCTGTCTTTGAAAACCTTCAAAAATATATATATATACCGCATGTTCCAATAGAATTTTTACGAATCCGATTTATTTTATTATTCGA